GAAGGTGACACTGAATGCCCACGGCCGACGCACGCTCACTGGGGCAGAAGAACATCTTTCCCTGTGGCGGACGAACACAGCAGCAGAACAGGCAGCAAGCCCCGTGCCAGCAACGAAGGCTGGAATCCGCTCAGGGGGATAAAGGGCGAGACAGCCACCTGGCAGCTTCGTGGACCAGGCCAGCGGCCAGCGGCTGGGACATCGTGTGCTGGACAAGGTCTTGGCTGAAAGGGGTCACTGGGTGGTCCCAGGGCTGCGAGAGGGACCCCGCCTTCACCCACTTCTAGTACCACCCCACCCTGCCAAGGCTGGCAGATGAAGTCTGAGGACACCTTCTTGAACTCCACTGCAACAGAGATTATTTCACAGAAATGGCAAATCATCTCCGAGTCCTCCTGAATTTTCCGCGGGCGGTGATGTCAGAGTTGACAAGCTGCAGAGAGCACCCTTTCTTGCATTGTAACATCTGGATTTCCCTTTGCAGAAACCGAAGGCTTTCAGACCCTCGGATTCCAGGACCTGAGCTTGGCGGTCTCCACCAGGAAGGTCACCGCGCTGAAAGGTGGCCCCAGGGACGCATGCCACTCCCATGAAGTGACCCCACCACGAGTGACTGTCTCTTTCCCCTCGGGCCCCTGCCAAGGTCCTGATGCAGAGCTTGCGGATTCTGCTGCTGGCCTGTTTGACTTAACAAGGATCTGACGCCGTCGCTGGACTGTTCTGGAGCCTTTGATGAGGTCTGGCTTCTGATGCAGATGCAGGAGGCCTGAGCGAGATGCGGAATTCTGAACACTTCTGCTGCAGAGGCAGGGCTCAGCACCGGCCCCCCGGGGGGCCTCCCTCGCCACGTGCCGGACGACTCCGTGACGGGCTGGCCCCAGTGCTGTGCTGTGCCCAGAGGGCCACTCCAGACGCTACCAGGGCACTGCCACCCACCCTGCCCAGCATGTGTCCACAGAGTGACCCACAGGGCCAGCTCCCCATCCACCTCTCTGACCTCAATAAACATGCGGTGAATGAATGAATGAATGAATGAATGAATGAATGAGCTAGAGGTGAGTCCGTGTGATTTCCAAAAACATGTTCAAAGTTATAATTACCATCCCAAAGTAGGGATATTAAAGGCAAAAGAGACCTGTTAAATGGCACAATTTCCATAGGAAATACATTAGAAATATTCTGAGATCTCAGTCAGGTGTCGGGAGTAGAGTCTCACCACAGACTTGGACCTGAAAAGGGGGAGATAAATAATGGAGATGGAGGTGGAGAGAGAAAGGAGGTGGTCAGGGGTAGAAAAGAGATGGAGACAGAGATGGGGGCAGGGAAGCCCGGAAGAGAGGGGGACAGAGGGAGAGAGGCAAGCACACCTGCAGACCACCCTGCACAGTCTCCCTGGAGACTGTGCTGCCGAATCCCAGCCTCGGCCTTGCTCCAAAGCACGGCTCCGTTGCCCAGCGCAGGCCGAGCGATGTGCGTATCGCACACCTCCGAGCAGCACAGCGTGACGGGCTGAGAGAAGGGACCTCGGGTGCTGGGAAGCACCAGGCACTTCTGTCCCACGGCCTGTGACGAAAGGCACACCTGGGTTTGTCACTGTGCTCACCCTGGTGACCTGAGATGGCACCAGGGGCTCTGTGACCCTCCATCTGCACCCACCCCCCTCACCCATGCACAAAGACAAGACTGCGTCCTGATGATGGGATTTTAGCAATCACAGGAGATAAACAAATGGACTGCCCATAAATCCACTGCTTAATTAGGAAGAAAAGCAGACATACGTATGCAAAACCAAACAAGCAAATGTCAGCATTGCAACTTTTCTAAACGTGACATAAAAAATAGTTGTCTGTTAGTCCTGGCCGGTTTGGCTCAGCGATTAGAGCATCGGCCCATGGACCAATGAGTCATGGGTTTGATTCCAGTCAAGGGCATGTACCTTGGTTGCAGTTTGTCCCTGGCCCTGGTCAAGGTTCTGCTGGAGGCAGCCAATCAATGTGTCCCTCTCGCGTCGATGTTTCTCTCTCTCCCTCCCTCCCACTCTATCTGAAGATAAATAGATTAAAACAATGTCCACAGGTGAGGATTAAAAAAAAGAAGAGTTGTCTGTTAGAAAAACTATGTACAGTACCCACTGCTTTGAAACGTGGGCACCATCTTTGGAAATGGCTCCAAAGTGTATAATTTCCCCGGATCCAGGGGTCAGCCTCCCTCTTCTACCACCAAGGGCACTTGCTCGTCTCCTCCTCTAGGGCATTAACACTTCCAGGGTGTCTCAGAGGGGTGGGTTCTTGCCGTGCCCTTGTGTGTCCAGGGCACAGAACATCTGGGGCCAGCCCCTCCCAGGGACAGAAACCCCAGGGTCGCCAGCCTGCATGGGTCCTGTCTCCACCAAAGTCTGACCACGCTGACCCGCACTCCGAGCTTTGGGTCTTTAATGATGCCCGGACTTCACAACAGCAGCCGCCCCGCCCCTTGGCTCCTCTGCTGTGCTGTTTCCACTATTTCCCTTCTGGCAACAGACCCTGATGTGCCGCCACTTGTATCTAACCAGCCCCTTCTGTTACTAAGTCTCTTCTCTCTCTGTCACTTGTATCTAACCAGCCCCTTCAGTTACTAAGTCTCTTCTCTCTCTGTCACTTGTATCTAACCAGCCCCTTCAGTTACTAAGTCTCTTCTCTCTCTGTCACTTGTATCTAACCAGCCCCTTCAGTTACTAAGTCTCTTCTCTCTCCCTTGTCTTCAGGCTTTTCATCTTCCTCGTGTTCTCCTTGGAGCTTTAAGCACTGCCGGCTCCACGGGGGCCTGGCGCTGGCCGAGTGGAAGTGGCAACGCCCTACCCCCAGGCCCCCAGCTGTGCCCCTGCCCAGTGGGTACAGACCGCAGCGGGCACACCGCTCTGCCTTTGGGCCCCTGAGATTCTGCCTCAGAGCCCAGGGGTCTCTGGCGACACTACCCACCTGTTTTACTTTAACAGGATTATGGATTTAAAACAGGACTATAGCAAGGATGGCAGCCCAGGAGCTCGGAGGGCTGAGCGAGCCGGTGGTGAGAGGCCTTGAGGCACTGCTGGGGAAGGATGTGCAGGATGTTGTTCAAATGTCTCGCTCTCATCAGCTGGGCTGGACAGTGTGACAATGAGCATCGTAGCTGGAAAGAGTCACCTCATGGCTGCCTGTGCTCCCTGGGCTTCCCTGAGAAGCTGGCTTCTCAGCCGCTGGGACAAGACAGTTCTCAGGGGCACTGGTCTTCACTTGGGAACCGGTCTTGAGACCTTCAACCTTCCAGAACCTGCAGTCTCCACAGCCCCTGTCCCCTGGCCACACCTGGGGGGTCCTGGGAAGCCCACAGCACTGGACCGGCCTCCTGCCCCACCCCAGATCCTCAAGCCCACCCTGAGCCCGGGGGTCTCCACCCTGAGCCTCCACAGTGCCAATCTCCAGTTCGCCACCCCGTCCCACACTGGCTGGCTGCCTTTGGCAGGATGACCAACAGAACCAGCCACCGAAGTATTGTTTCATGACACAATGAAGCACTTCCATAGAGCCTGCCGACCTCCCCACCGGACTCAAATGTTCAACCACTCAGGTGTGCTCATCCTGTGGGGACAAGCTCTGCTACTGTCATCACCTGGGTGCTCCCCTGGTTTCCTCCCAGGGGGACGTCAGCCCAGCTGGCAGCCTCTGCTGACCCAGAGTCAATGTCGTGCCATGGGGGTCCCAGGGATCCCTGTGAACACCTCCTGCCCTCTCCTCCCCTCCCCTCGGTGGGGAAGGAGAGCAAGTCTGTCCTGAAGGGCGGGAGGGTGAGCAGACCACTGGTACAGAGCCAGCTGCCTGCAGCCCCTGTGGCCGCCCGGGCAGGAGGTGTGCCTGTGGGTGCCCTCGGTGGAGAACCCGTCTGTTCCTTTTCCCGGATCATGATGAAAAGCCCAGGCACGCTTAGAAGTAGGGCCGGCCTGAGTTATAAATACAAAAGTGTCAACATTTGTATTATTCAACTTGGTTTTCTAACTTTTTTTTCAATTTGAGAATTTGCTAAACAGAGGTCTAAAGAACGTGGCCTTCAGAGCACCCTCTCTCAGGGCCCCTGTGGTCACCTGGGGTCCTCCAGCCTCTATGGCAGCGGGTGTGGCCGAGCCAGCCCAGCCTCATGACCCTGGAAAGTTCAGGCAGAGTCGCTCCCAGCGACACCTTCAAACGCAAGTTGTTAAGCAAGGAGCACAGAGTTTTGATTTTGAGGTTAATGAGACCTTGCTAATCTATCATCTACAGCAAATGAGTAGAACCTTGAACGACACTCACTGTGACAGGAACGGCCGCGGGCAGCACCCAGCTCTGTCCCAGACTGACCGTGGGAGGGCCCTCTGTGCGGCCGGGGCCAGGCGCCCTGGGTTCCCCGGCAGCCACTCTGGCCCCCACGGACAGACAGGTGTCCGCCAGCAGGTTCAGAAGACCCGCACTGCCTCTGGTGACTTCAGTCCTTCCCAAGGACAAAAGGTTCCGACTGTTGCTTCATCTTTTGGTCTAAATCATGTGCTGAGCATGGCCCCGTCTTGGCTCGGCAGGGGCGTACCTGAGGCCGGAGAGCTGGGGTCCAGCCGGCAGTGGGTGACTTTCCAACACTGCGGCCAGGGCACCCAGGGAGGCCCGATGACCCTCTGGAGCTGGGCAGCTGACTCGTACCCATGATGGTATCGACAGAGACTCCAGGAGAGCGACATTAAACTGAGACCCCAAAGATGGAAAGGGACTGGGACAAGGGGTTAGGGGCGTCACACGGAGACGAGGAGAATCAAGTGCAAGGTCCCAGAGCTGAGACATCCGTGACTCACTCCGACCCCAGCTGCCGATGAGGGAAGGTGGGCCCGGAGGCGGAGCCAGGCCAGGTCGGGCTCAGCGTTAGACCCGTTACCCCTCCCCCGCTCCTGTTGGGCATTGCAGGGAGCAGAGGCAGCTGAAACGCTGTAAGGACAACAACTTCTAAAACTGTCACTGTAAATAATGTCATCCACAACATCTAGCGTAGAGTGTGTAGTGGTTTTTTTTTTATATTTGGAGTGGATGGAGCAAGCTCCTATTCTATCTCCCTGCTCCAAAAATCCATTTAATATAGTGTCCTCGGATAGAGGACGTATCAGATATTAACTGATAAGAACAGATACTACACTTGATCTTAGCCAAAAGGCCAAGAAGCGATAGAGCGTGCAGTGTTTTTACATACGGTAAAAATTATTAGATTTCATTTTCACACTGAAGATTTTTTCCAAGGCCACTGTCTGCAGCTACTGTTGTTTCACAGAAGGAAGGAACCTCAAGAGGGCTGTGCTGCTCTCTGCGGCACGTCGACAAGGCTAGAGTCCTGCCCGGGATGCCTTCGCTGTCCTACCAGGAGTCAGCTGCAGACGTTACCCGTCTCAAAGCACCTGTCATACAACCTTCAGTTCTGCGTGGAGGAGAGATGCGCAATTAAATACATTCTCTTCTAAATTACATTACTGGATTTTATCAAAGAGGAACATTTTTGTAAAAAAAAAAAAAAAAAGTGGGATTCAATATGAAAGCAATTGTAATATCACAGTGAGATCCGCGAAGGCCATGTTTCTGGGACAGGAACCGTGATTACTGAGGGCAGCCTATCACTGGCGATGTCTTACCTTGAAGGGAAATCGTGTCACTGGGCCTTGGGGTCCGATGCACTCTCAGGACAGGGAACTGTAGGGCGCACACACACACACACACACACACACTGCCATGGGACGGGGCCATGTGGCTGAGACACACTCTCCAGTTCTCTGACCAGGCTGCGATCTCTCCAGCGTGGAGCCATGGCCTGGGAGGAGGGGCTGCTGTGGGGTTCAGTTAGAGGCCTGACCTAGAAAGATCAGTAATCGAGAGGGTGACAGTAGCCACCTCTCCCTCGGGGACCAGACTGGCATTGAGCTCAGCAGAGCGGTGAGGCTGGGAATCAGACAGGCCTTGGAATCAAAGCCCAGTTCTGCCGCTTACTACCCTGGAGTGTGGGGACAATCGCTTCCGCTCTCTGAGTTTTGATTATCCCAACAGAATGAGAAAAATAATACCTTTGTCACCTTGGGTTGCCATAACAAAATAGCACGGAGAGGGCGGCTTAAAACACAGGTATCTATTTCTCCTGGTCCTGGAGGCTGGAAGCCCAAGACCAAGGGGCTGACTTTGTGGGATTTGGGGGAGAGCTCCCCTCCTGGGATGAGACACCAGCTTCTCACTGTCTTCACCTGGCAGAGAGAGAGCTCCCTGGTCTCTTCTTGTAAGGACACTAATGCCTTCATGAGGGCCCCACCCTCATGACCTCACCTAACCCTAATCACCTGCCAAGGTCATCCCGTTGGGGATTAGAGCTGCACCCCATGAATCTGGGGGAAGCACAAACATTCATTCCCCTGTCACCCGGAGAGTCCCAACGTGCACGGTGCTGCAGTGCCCACCATGGTGGTGCTCACGAGATGGGATTGCAGCAGTTATTGGGGCGAAACACCCTCCAGCAGCCTCACCCACTGCGCAGGGTCTGCCCGTGCTGAGCAAGCAGAGAGGGCCCAGCCCAGCGGAGACCCTCCTTCCTCGTGGGCACTCTGCCCCCAGGGCCAAGCCTCTCGGGACACCACAGCTTGCTCATCCAGCGGGTCTTCTGAAGAGCTGTCCTTGCATCTATTCTGTCATGAACGTCTCATGGGGAACATCGGCCGTGCCTTTCCAGTTCTTTGGGAAAGACCACCCACTCCTCCCACAGCGTCCTCGCTCATGTCACCGTGTGGACCGAATCAGGACCATTCTGAGCCGCAGGGAATCTGAGCGCCTCTGTGTGCGCGTGCGTCTGCTTCCGTGTCACATCACGCCTCCCTCCTGAACAGCAGGCCCTTCACAGGTCCCCGCCTCCTGCGTGGGCCGCGTGCCGCCACAAACGCACCTGCGTCATCCCCGCAGGGGACAGGCGAGCACGCGGTGAGGGTATATCCGCGTCAAGTCTGAGAGATGCCGGGAGCCTCACTCAGTGTCTTCCGGCCTGGCACCAGGAGAGCCTCATTAGGTATCTAATTTAAGAGGAATAAACATCTATATAAAAAATTCTCCTAGCTATAAATCACGATCTGTGATAAATTCGTCCTAACCTAATTCATTTGCATAACTGACGGGGGCGGATGCTTACAAGGGTGTCTGCCCCATGCACACAAACGCACTGGATTCTGCCACCTCCACGTGATGAAACCAGGAGATTCCCGGGAGCTCGGCCCGCTCTGCACGCGGACCACAGCCGCCTGGCCATCGCCTGCCGGCCCAGCACGCAGCCGCTGTCCTCCGGGGAGCCCACCCAGGCAGCCCCGACTTCTTGCAGCCTGATCTCTATGAAAATGCAGCCCTCACCTGGCTGATTTATTTTCACATTTCGATGCAATGGAATGAATGGTGCAGGGCTCATCTCCGTTGATGACATTAACTGAGACTTTTTTTTTTTAAGCAGCTTCTTTCAGTTATTTTCTTTATTTTCAAAAGGGAAGTTATTCCAGTCATTTGATACAAATGGTTTTAATTAGTTTAAGGCCAACACGGGCTGAACAAACACGGGCTTGGGCTGGCTGCTCTGTGTGCTAAGAGGAGACGCAGAGCTGTGCTCAGGGTGTTGATCTGCAAGCTAAGCCGGTGATCCCAGTCAGTGTGGCCTCGGGGGCACCACCCGCCACCTGACAGCCGTCCCTCTGCAGAGGCCAGCGAGATGCCGCCCACTCTGCACACAAATGCATTTCTATGACAAGGGCAGGTGCCGTTTGTTGAATGATGGGGAGCGGGAGACCCAACACATTTGAGTTCTGTTTATTCTGCTCCCTACTGCTCCGGATAGGGGCATGCTCAGGCTTAGAAGACTGTAGAAATTTCCTGAGGAACTTGCATTTTCATGACTATGTCTTTAAGAAGGTATTAAAAATTAGAAAGTCAAGCCTACACGTACCACAAAGCATCTGGTAAAAAGAGACTCCTTGCTTTGAAAAATACTCAAATGCAAGTTTTGTCTGAGATTTTCTTTCCCAGATCTATTGGGCCAGTTACCACGTGGGTCAGCTCTTTGTCAACTACAATGAGAATTTCTGGTCCACAGCCAGCACTTCATCGCACACCGGCCTTGGGCCCTCCATGCCCTTCCGTGGCACCTCAGCCTCCATGGCATAGAGTCTAACCCCTTCCTTCCCCACTGGTACCCTGTTCTCTAGAAATTCTCCCCTGCTGGAACCCCCTCCCCAGATCAAGGACATGGTACAGCCTGATGTGCCTGCTCTGTCTGGGGTAATTCCCCGCCGCTCCCCCAAGTTGATCTCGGCTCTTCCTCTCTGGGGTGCTGTCCATGACTCTCCAGACTGAGTGGAGCACCCTTGCTCTACCCTCCACTCTGTCTGCTTCTCATCACTGCACGGAGTGCCCTAGCTCACTGGCTGATGGAGCGCTCCTCCTTGGAAGGTCGGTTCCTGCAAGGCAGGAATCATGTCTTCAGCATTTTGTCTGCCGTGTAACCTACTCAGCACTGGTGTTCGCCTGGGACCAACTAAGCTCTTTGATCAAAGTCACTTCCCCACCAGGATGACCAGTCTCTCTGCATCTGGCTGGGCAGAGCTGTGGGCTCTGCCAACTCCTCACCTCCACACTGGATGTTTCTAGTTCCTGGAATGTGCGTCCCCGTCTGCCGGATAGGGTCCCGCCCTCCTGGGAGCCGAGCCAGCGCCCTGCCCTCTGCAAAGCCCACCTGGGAGCACGCCGGAGTGCGGACCTTGTTGTCCTTTGCTGTTGAAAATGCATTGTGCACATTTCTGCTGGAGCCCAACACCTCTAATGACTCATTATGTATCCACGAGTCCCCTGAAAGCGGAAGCCGTGCTTCTCGCCTTTAAATCTGCTCTAAACCAACTGTGTGATTGACACAAAATAGATGCTTAATAAATGTTGGATGGCTGGCTAAATGTGCACATAAATGAATGAACAGCCACCCACTGGAAGACATCACTAGGCCTGTCAATCTGTCCCTCCCACGTGCAGAGCAATCAAACCACAGAGAAACAAACGGAAAATAAACAAGAAACTGGACACACTGTTGAGCAGGTGCTGCGGCCTCGGGTGGGGTTTCCGTCCCAGAGCAAGGCCCTCTGTGGCAGAGATCCCCCACCAGATGCAGGCTCCCCGATCCCCCAAGCTCAGGTCAATCGTCCCCAGAGGCTCTGCACGGACACACAGACCACGGGCGCAGCTCGCCTTCCTGCTGGCTGATTCTCAAGTGTGAAAGGGCAGCCCAGGTTGGCCAGACACCTGAGTAAGTTCACGGCCTGAAGGAACAAGGTCAACTGGAAGACACAGGTCAGGGAGTGACTGTGGACCTCGTGTAATGAAGAGGAAAATCAAAATCGCCCTAACCAGGGTCCATTCATGCTCCACATAGCGTCGTCTAGGGGATGAAAGAACACGCTTTGTCCATGAAACAAGAAAAACATGCTACCAAAAATAACATCCGAAGACCCAAATAAGCTCCAAGAATTTATAGATAGATAGATAGATAGATAGATAGATAGATCATATAATATTTATATATAATCATATTTATATGTCTCTAAATTCTTTCTTATTCTCTCATACATACATATGTATATTCTAAATTTAAAACAATGAATAGACATTTGAAAGACAACGTCAAATGTTTAAAAACAGAGAAGGATGTGATAAAGTTTCTTAAAAGAAAGAGACACGATCTTGAATTAGGCAATGAATTCTTCGATCTGACATGAAAAGCATGAGAAACAGATGAAAAAGTAAGTTGCACTTCATCAAAATTCAAAACGTTTGTACATCAAACAGCATCAAGAGAGTGAGGAGACAACCCGCAAACCGGGAGAAAATACTTGCAAGTCATGTATCTCATCAGGGCTAGTACTCAGAATACGTAAAGAACCCTTACAATACAAAACAAAAATGACAAACGACCTAATTAAAAAATGAGCAAAGGACTTGAGAATAGACATTTCTCCAAAGAAGACACACAAATGGCCAACAAGCACATGGAAATATGCTCAACATCATTAGCTTGAAATGCAAACAAAACCATAAGGAGAGATCATTTTACACCTACTAGAATGTTAACAATTAAAACGTAACACACTGGCAAAGATGTGGAGAGAGGGGAATCTT